CCGTTGGCGGCGGTAGTTCGGTCGATCGCGCCAGTATCGTCAGGTAAATTCAATCGGTTACCGATTGTCAAAGTGAGCTAACCACGTGTCCAACCCGGGACGATCCGCGAAGGCGCTAGTGACGAGTAGAAATCTGTTTCTGTACTTTCAGTGACAGTTCGCTGGAGTGCTCGCTGAGTCTCGACGACAGTCAGAGCACGCAGGTGCTTCTCGGCAACTCGACGAAACCCTTCGCAATGGATCTCGACGTGCGTTCCAACAGGTCGAGCATCATATCGCAGGAGGAAAACGACGAGAATCAGCACCAATAATAATTAATATAACAATTGTAATAGTAATACTCGCATAGAGCGCACTTACGCCTTAGAATCTTTGGATTTTTCTTTTCTACGTGTGGAAAGATTAATCCGAGTTCTTCTGCGACGAGTCAAAGAACGATTCGATTCCGAAAGAGATGTGCGCCACCGTCGCGTTCTCCCGTCGCATTTTCTTTTTCTATAAGAAAAGTTTTCAAAACCGGGAACCTTATTGAATGATGTCGGAATCTGTTCTCCGCTTTTTGATAGATCGTAGTAGACGCGCGATCAAACTTCCGATAGTTGAAAGTATGCACATACATATGTATGTACATCGCTGCGCGCTCTCGTGTTTTCGAAATCGAATTTCGAAATGTCTTTCGTCTTCGGCGTCACGCAATTGTTTATCTGTACAACAATGTACGCCAATCGGACCATTTTCGTATAATCGCACCGCGTCAGATTTACACATCACTGTTAATATACACTTTCGCATGATACTTTCACGATAGAATTATGTATCACTGCAGCAGTATATCGCGACTTCTTTTCCTTTTTCATTCTTAATTTTTCCTTTGGCATTAGTCAAAGTCGCACTCACATTATGATTCATTACGATCGATTAATTATTATTCCTAATTGAAAAGCTTATTTCTTTATATCGTTGAAAGAGAGTTGAAACTATATGTAAGAGAACGAAATGAAGAGTCACATCGCGTGTCACAAGTTCTTTTTTAAATATATATTTAAGAATTTTTGGAGAAAAACCGCGGTCAGACGAAATTTCTTATTCCTTCTATTGTGTCTGTATCTTTAAAGTTTATCATATAACGCATGCACATATACGAGGTGATGTTTTGTTAAAGGCAGACAGAGATATTTTGTTAGAGGCACCCAGGATGGTGGCTCGCTAATGTTTCTCTACTAATCAATCACTAATTTTCTCTGATGAGAGAGAATCGCACCGCGTCGCGAAATATCGGTGAAACGCTCGGGCATCACGCGTATCTCGTTTTCCTGAAAAAAAAAAAGGTGGAAAAAGTAAAATATATGCGCGCGCATACACGCACGCACGCATACACTGGGTGACACAAGTTGACACAAACATCACTATCTTTCTTGACATTCAGAGAGTAACAAAAGCAGAAACTTATGTCGACTGACGATTTGTGTCACCAAATGGAACACATTATTTTGTTAGCTGTTATATACTTACACACCGACGATGAGACGAGATCTCGCGGTGTTCGAGTGAGCTTTCGAAGCTTCATATCATATAGATAAGCGTAGATTTGTATAGACACATTTATCTCCGTGCACACGTTGATCTTGTATCGAAATTAAGAAGTTTATTCAATGTTGAACCGGAGAAACCGGTACGATCATTTATTGATCGATTGTTTTTCAAAGGATTTACGTAAACGATTTTACGATTACTTACTGTAGTAATGCCAGGCAGGTTTTGCGAACGGTTCGGCTGCCGATATCGTAGGCGTTATAGTCTCAGCGATTAACGTCGTCATAATTATGAATACTCGTCGCGGAACACTCGTCGGAATGTTAAATGCACGCGAATCAATCTAACGTGTATGTACTACTGTACATGCGGATTAAACGGCGCATGCATACACAGATTTTTTCAACTACCGCACTATCTCGCAGATCACTTCGAATCGTCGGCGACTTGTCTACTCGCCACGATCTCTTTGAATTTTCATTTTTAGATCTGGGTTGGCGAGCCATCATTCGCTCGAATATGTTAATTTTTAAGGGAGTGATTTTTTGTCATTCTCCCTTGGTCGAGACGAGATGCATTTATTAATCGTACGCGTTTCATAAGTCTAGCTCTCGTACGATAGAGAGAAAGACAGTTCTATATTATCTACCTCCTTAAAAAAAAGAAAAACAGAAAAATGTACCAAAGATAATCGAGTGTCTGTGGAGGGTTGTTTTTATTCACGCTTAGAAAATCAGCCCGATAACATGACTAGCTCGGTTTGATCTCTTTTCTCGCGGTAAGATCAATTTTTTGGAGAATGGAAAGGAAATGGCACGTATGTAGTACTAGAAAATATTTGTAAAATAAATATTATATAATATATAAAATATAAAATAGATCACAAGATTTGCGATATTGAGGTAAACGAATCCTTATTTCTCAATAGGCTAATGGATCGAAAATTTATGATAAAATGGAAATTATTAAAATCCATGATCAGACTAAAGATTAATCTCTTAAAGCCATGATCGGACCAAAGATTGAAATTGAGATTGGATTGGAATTTAATCAATCGGAAGAAAGAAAATCAATCTCAAGTTTAATGTATTTCGATTGGTTAAATTCCAATCCAATCTCTCAATTTCAATTTCTAGTCATGGTTTGAACAGTATTTACATCGTTCTTTATTTCTCTCCAGATCACAACTGTCTCATTTATATAGCGCGAATGTAAAAGATACAATTTGTTTTCGCCTCCAATAAATTTATAAATAGTAACATTTCAGGCAAGGCCAGTCAAGTAATATATTCATACATTTTTTAAGTACGTTTTTCGGCATGTTGGAACGACAATGGGTCTCTGGTTTGAATATACAACAATCGAAAAATAACGAACGTAAACGTCTTAATCGATTTTTGCCAGCTTTTGAAAAAATTAATCTGAATTCTTTAGTTTTAGTTTAATTTTTTTTCAAGTTATTTTAATGCTTTATATACACGTATATTGATGGATAAAGGGTAATAATTTTTTCTTTAACAATATGTATTTGCTCTACAAAGATTGTGACATGTACTGTAAAAAAATTATTGTTGCATTCCATTCTGTATTTTATATTCGATCATTGCAATTAATCAATTTATAATTTATGAAAAATATTTTTAAATGTTATATGTATAATATTTAGAATTTTAAATGTTAAGTTTTAAATATATTATACATATACAGTGTGTGTACACGCATGCATGCGCGCGCGCACGCGCGACACACACACACACACGGAGTGAGTCATTTAAATAATACATTAAAATTGATCGAAAATTAAGGTTTTCATTGTTAAATGTTTCATGCAAAAATTTTCATAGTTTCGAAGAGGGCATATAAGATATGGTACCATTAGTTTGATTTTTAATAGTCGTTTGAAGGTTATCTTTAATTTTTTAAATAAATATTTCCATTTTTCATTGTGTATAATTTACAACCGAGGGCAAGACATTTTTAAAACACTGATTACAATCTCTTTTGTAATGGTAAACTTCCTGAGTTATGAGTACTCAAAGTTTAAGTACCACCGACATTAGTATTACTCAAGATATATCATGTGGAGCTGATTGTCCACTCGGTATAACAAGAAAGAAAACATTCTTTTCTATCTTGAAGACAGTGGTCCGTCCAATCGTTTTATGTTGCTTTTCGTTGTCAATTGACAACTTTCTTCTCTGCTGTCTGCTGACAGCACGAAACATTTTTTTCTAAAATGCATTCAAGATATTAAAGTGTCTCAAAATTTAAATGCCTCACCTTGTACATACATATATGTATACTATATGCCCAAGTGGAACAGATCACGATAATGTCACCAAAATGATATTGAAGTGACTAATGACTGATTGAAAAGTGATTCTTAATGATCATCTTAGAGCTATTTTGACATCATTTTGATATCAAATTAGCTTTGTATTCTGTTTGGGATATCATATTTATACATATACACGTATGAAAAGCAGTTTAAATATAACTTAAAGGTTATTCGAAAAAGAGAGGGAAAAATTTAACATTGATAAAAAAATGTTTCGTTTGCTCTATCCGAAATTAGACGTATGTGTTAATTGTAACCTGGTGACCAAAACTATTTAAAGTGAATTAATTATAATGGCAAGTTAATCGACATTATTAATGGAAATCGATATTAGATACTTATAGTTACGTTAAGGATCGACCGATTGTTTAATTTAATTGAAAAACGATAATCGTGTTTTACTTGACGCTGAAAACCGAAAGTCTCATCTGTCTTGTTCTGTGAGCTCTTTACATACTGGAGTATTGTATATGTCTTCCCTTCCCCGTATCATTTCTAAGAAAAAGAAACGATGGGGAAGGTATGATGGGAATGGTTTCTGTCTAGCTCATTCTCGCAATTTGGCTACCCCCATTACACATTTTCATAGAGACGGAGAAGGCAAGGGGCAGGAAAGGGTTACTCCAGTATGTATATATACAGCTCACGGAATGAGACAGAATGAGACTGACTTCCAGTGTCAAGTAAAACACGATTATTGTTTTTCAATTAATTAAGCAACTAGTCAATCGGCAACATGACTATAAGTACATCTAACATTAATTTCTATTAATAATGTCAGTTAATTTGCCATTAATTAATTTACTTTAAATAATTTCGGTCACCAGAGATCACGATACACAGGAGCTAAAGACCGGGAATAATTGATATATGTTGTATATTCGACATGGCAGAGATTATTCGCGCGTATTGGAATTGAGAGTCGAGTTTTTATTCTGCTGCTATTCCATCTTCACATTCTCCTCCGTCCTCGATACTATCTTTCACTAGGAATGTACCGAATCGTAAAATTGTCGAATATTGGACATCCAATGTCACATTCTTTCTGGATATACGATCGAATATCCGATAGGGCAATTACCTGGCCGGATACCGGATATTTTCCAGATATCCGGTATACTTTTTCTATTCTATTTATAAAAAAAGAAAGCAAGGGAAAAATAGTGATAATAATTTTCTTTATCTCCTCAACATGAAAAGAAAAAGACAAAAGATGAACTGCGCAAGAAGTTCAGCTGGATGATTATGTATATTAAGGGAGGTTACTCAGGGTCATGACCTTGACCTTAACATATGTTGTCAAGGTCATGATCCTGAATGATCTCCAACAGGTTTTAGGTGGCGATCGTCCTTCGTTAAAAAGTTATTAACAAATAAAAGTTTAAAAAATGAAGTCTCTTTTTTACTATATAAAACAGAAATTTCTTGTTTTAAAATATATTTTACGACTTTCCACGCGAAACGAGTTCCACCCCATCTCACCAAGTTGCTTCGTGTGGAAAATCGAACACCCCTTGGCAGGGGGGGGGGGGGGGGGGGGGGGG